GACTCTACAAGAAAGCACAAATGGACTCTGGGTGGCGTGAACAGTTAAGCCCTCGACTACTAGCCGAAAGGTTGGCTGATGGAGTCCACCCAGAGGTGGACAGGCCCGGAGATCTACTTCAGAAAGGTCACAGCCTTGAAAACCTTATGGAGCAGTTCTGCTGTGCACACACGGGGTCGCCATGAAACAGAACTGAGTCAAAGGCAACTAACAACAACAATAAAGAAAGCACAAATGCATTTATTTAAAAATAAATCGCTATCTGGGGTCTCTACTGTAACAGACATGGAATTTTCACACATGGTCAACTCCCCCCTGCTTATGAAAAGCATCTGCTCCAGGGTTTCTCAGACAAACAGTCTAGATAAAGAAATTTGCATTTATTTTGGAATCTACAACCACTGCCCTTTCCTACATGTTCACTGTCCTGACAGGCTATAAATAAACATGGCTTCTTTGGAGCTGAAGAATATTAACAGCCTTGCTTCTCTCTCACACAAGTTAACACATAGTCGGTCCGCGTTTGTTAGTGATGGCAGGTTTACTGTTTTTTTCTTGCTCTTTGCTAAATTGGAGGCCATCGCTGGGTTGTTGTTATTGTCCTTCCAGTCATTTCCAACTCACGGCGACCTATGTACAACAGAACGAAACACTGCCCAGTCCTGCGTCTTCCTCACAATCATTGCTGCGTTTCAGCCCATTGTTGTAGCCACTGTGTCAATCCATCTCATCGAGGTCTTTCTCTTTTTCGCTGATCTTCTATTTTACTAAGTATTTGTCCTTCTCCAGGGACTGGTCTCTCCTGATAACATTTCCAGAGTACGTGAGACAAAGTCTTGCCATCCTCGCTTCCAAGGAGCACTCTGGCTGTACTTCATCCAAGACAGATTTGTCTGTTCTTCTGGCAGTCCACAGTGTATTCACTATTCTTCACCAACACCATAATTCAAGTGCATCAATTCTTCGTCAGTCTTCTTTATTCATTACCCAGCCTTCCCATGCGTATGAGGTGATTGAAAATATCATGGCTGCGGTCAGGTGTACCTGAGTCCTCAAAGTGACATCTTTGCTTTTTAACACTTTAAAGGGGTCTTTTGCAGCAGATTTGCCCAATGCGTTTGATTTCCTGACTGCTGCTCCCATGAGCATTGATTGTGGATCCAAGTAAAATGAAATCCTTGACAACTTCAATATTTTCTATATTTATCATGATGTGCTTATTGGTCCAGTTGTAGTTTTCTTTATGTTGAGGTGTAACCATACTGAAGTCTTTAGTCTTTGATCTTCATCAGTAGGTGCTTCAAGTCCTCTTCACTTTTAGCAAGCAAGGTTGTGTCATCTGCATATCACAGGTTGTTAATGAGTCTTCCACCAATCCTGATGCCATGTTCTTCTTCATATAGTCAAGCTTCTCGGATTATTTGCTCTGCATACAGATTGAATAAATTTGGTGAAAGGATACAACTCCGACGCACATCTTTCCTGACTTCAAACCACGCAGTATCCCCTTGTTCTGTTTGAACGACTGCCTCTTGATCCATGTACAGGTTCCTCATGAGCACAATTAAGTGTTCTGGAATTCCCAATATTTTCCATAATCTGTTATGATCCACACAGTCGAATGCCTTTGCATAGTCAATAAAACACAGGTAAAGGTCTTTCTGGTATTCCCTGTTTTCAGCCAAGATCCATCTGACATCAGCAATGATATTCCTTCTTCCACGTCCTCTTTTATAACTGTTTTTGAATTATCTTCAGCAAAATTTTACTTGCATGTAATATTAATGGTATTGTTCGATAAGTTCCACATTCTGTTGGATCACGTTTCTTTGGAATGGACACAAATATGGATCTCTTCCTGTCGGTTGGCCAGGTAGCTGTCTTCCAAATTTCTTGGCATAGATGAGTGGGCGCTTCTGTTTGTTGAAACACCTCAATTGATATTCCGTCTATTCCTAGAGTCTTGTTTTTCGCCAATGCCTTCAGTGCAGCTTGGACTTCTTCCTTCAGTACCATAGGTTCTTCATCATATGCTACTTCCTGAAATGGTTGCACATTGACCAATACTTTTTGGTACAGTGACTCTGTGTATTCCTTCATCTTCTTTTGATGCAGCCTGTGTCATTCAGTATTTTGTCCATAGAATCCCTCAGTATTGTAACTTCAGGTTTGAATTTTGTCGTCAGCTCTTTCATCTTGAGAAATGCCAAACATGTTCTTTCCTTTTGGTTTTCTAACTCCAGCTTTTTGTACATATCATTATAATATTTTACTTTGTCTTCTCAAGCCACCCTTTGAAATCTTCTGTTCAGCTCTTTTATTTCAACATTTCTTCCATTTGCTTTAGCTACTCGATGTTCAAGAGCAAGTTTCAGAGCTTCTTCTGACATCCATTTTGGTCTTTTCTTTCTTTCCTGTCTGCTTAATGACGTTTTGCTTTCTTCGTGTATGATGTCCTTGATGTCATTCCGCAACTCATCTGGTCTTCAGTCATTAACGTTCAGTGTGTCAAATCTATTCTTGACATGGTCTCTAAGTTCAAGTGGGATATACTCAAGGTCACAGTTTGGCTCTGGTGGACTTGTTTTTAATTTTCCTCGGCTTCATCTCGTACATGAACAATTGATGGTCTGTTCTGCAGTCGGGCCCTGGCCTTGTTCTGACTGATGATATTGAGCTTCCCCATCATCTCTCTCCACAGATGATGTAGCCGATTTGATTCCTGTTATTCCATCTGGCGAGGTCCATATGTATAGTCACCATTTATGTTGTGGAAAAAAGGTATTTGCAGTGAAGAAGTCGTTGGTCTTGCAAAATTATATCATGAGATTTCTGGCATTGTTTCTGTCATCAAGGCCATATTTTCCAACTACCGATCCTTCTTTGTTTTTAACTTTCACTTTCCAATCACCAGTAATTATCAATGCATTACAATCCTCTTTTTAAAATAGAGGGAAACTGAAGGCTCAGAAAAGTAAGTGACTTGCCTAAGGCAAAGTATCTAATAAGTGGCTCAGCTAGAATTCCAGCGCAGATGTGCCCGGCCCTAAAGACCCTCTTGTTAACAACTACACACTCTTTTTCCCTGGGTGGCCTTCCATTTGTCTGCCACTGTGGAAGGGGTGACAGGAGTCAGGAATGCGGAACAGTCTGGAGCTTGTGAGGAGAAAGGACAACTATAAAAATCTCTCAAATATCTCCATTCCAGACTGACTCCTCAGGAGGAGCCGCTGGGGATCATCTGGGGACCAGTTTGAAGGATGCATATACCCTTGCCTTGAAGCACAGGCTTCCAACTATATTTTGTCTCTCTAATGTGATGTGAATGGGGGCAGTGGTGATTCAGTGGTAGAATTCTCACCTTCCATGCTAGATACCTGGGTTTGATTCCCAGCCAATACACCTCATGTGCAACCACCACCCATCTGTCAGTGGAGGCTTGTGTGTTGCTATGATGCTGAGCAGATTTCAGCAGAGCTTCCAGACTAAGACAGACCGGGAAGAAAGTCCTGGCGATCTACTTCCAAAAATCAGCCGATGAAAACCCTACGGATCACAATGGCCTGATCTGCAACCGATCGTGGGGATGGCACAGGACCAGGTAGCGTTTTGTTCCATTGTGTATGGGGTCAGCATGGGTTGGGAGCCAACTCCACAGCAGCTAACAACAATAATGTAAGGTTAACTCCTGGTTTAAAGCTCCACAATGCATTGATGGTTTGGGAAACAAGTGCTCTTGACCGTGCGAGGCTTTGGAGTCAGAACACAGCTTGATGAACACTGGCATGGCCCCACCCAAGCCGAGAGTGGGGAAGACTCAGGAGACCCACGGGCCAAGACCACGGAGAGGCCAGAGAAATTATAATTTAAAGGGTAGTTCCATAATAAGGAATAAGCCCAGCCTCCTCAAAGGACGGCACATTTACGCAGTACAGCCTCAAGGATATACTACAATTTCGCTTTTTAACTGTCTATCCACATGTCTTCACACATGCTAACTATACATTTGGTTCTAGTTCAGGACAGGATGGGCATGCTTAGAAGAGGCTATCCCAGTTCTGCCATGCCAGAATGAGACTCCAAGTGCTCCCGCTCAGATGATGAAAAAAATGAACAAAACATCCATTTAAATACCTACCGATGATGGAATCCCTCCGGAAAACGTCTCTATCAAAAATGTAAAATGAGAGGTGTCGAAAACTCCGAGGAATTTCACAGTAAAAGTCTTCTCCATAAAAGGGGCTGGACAAAATAAACAAAAATGAGCATCATTAGAATACACGCCACAGTGTTTTTTATACTTTGTACTGGGCAGGCCAACATTGCTAATTTATCGTTGGGTGGACACTATCTGTGGAGAACCTGTCCTTAGCATCTTAGCTCTGAGGGCTATAGGTTTTCATGGTCTGTCCTGAAGACGCTAAGCACTGTTCTCAAGTACATGCATGCAATTTTATTTTTAAATGCACCATAAAAGTACTTGATACTGTGTTTCACGTATTGGACATGAAACCGCAGTTTCTTACTTGAGGTAAAAATAAACTAAATAGTAAGCAGGCTTTGAAAGATCTTCAGAGATTATCTTCCCAGCGTTCATCCCAAAGGCATGTAATAGTAAATGAATGAACATGTCTGTATTACTAGACTTGATTTAGCTAACAGTTTAGGAAAAATAGAAAGCTTGACAAAGATTGTGACAATTAACGAAACTATTTCCATTGTACACACTCAAGTTTAACATAAATCCTAAACCAAAAACCCAAACCCGTTGCTGTTGAGTGTATTCCAAATCATAGCGACCCAACAGGACACAGTAAATCCGCCCCATAGGGTTTCCAAGGAGGGGCTGGTGAATTCGAACTGCTGACCTTTTGGTTAGCAGCCGAGCTCTTAACCACTGAGCCACCGGGGCTCTACAAACACTAAAGGATTGCTGTAATGTTTTAGAGGTGACTGTTTTTGGGTAGGGGTGGCAGCACTCACTTTACATCAGAAGTAAACACAGCATACCAGTTTCACAGCATCAGGCTAGAATCCCTTTTTCCATGATTCAGTGCAAACACCCGCCTGGGCAGCCATGGTGCCTCTCTCCCTGACAGAGGATCCTCCCTCTGCCATAGCTGATCACCCCCTTCACAGATCCTGCCGCCTAGCTCAGCCCACGCATGAATCACCCTGACAGATGCGGCAAGCACCACAGATGGAAACGCAAAAATAAATTGCTAATTCTAATTAAGGGGCAGAAAGCCAGCGGGCTTTATCATTAAACAAACCTCCCCATCGCTCTGGTCAGGCACAAGGCTGGGGTGAGGAAAGGTGGTTCATTAAAGCCACAACCAATACACATGAAAAACGACATGGCATTGGACTGACGCGGACTACTTCAGAAATCTAGCAAGTGCTTCAGTACATACACACACGCTCGCAATTGCCTTCAAATGTGATACGATCAATTTTCATGCGTGTTTCTGCTAAGGTCTAGAATGGGAAACATATAGTCAGGTGAGAACTAAAACAGGATGTTACATTTTGTTAGAATTCAACAGAAAGAAAGAAGAATGTATATTCCTAACCAAATATGAAGCGAAAGGTAATAAAGAACCACGCGTGTCTCACAGTGCAGGTTTATTGTGAATGGCAAAGATATGACAACAGAGGGAGGGAGGGAGGAAGGGAAGGAGGATCAGTTCTTAACTAAGAGAATTCTAGGACTATATTTTATCAACTCTGAGATGCACCCTTTTCTCCTTCACATTTTAGTACCTCTGAAATCAAAATAAGGTCTCTGGCGACACAAATGGTTTGTGCTTGAGCCGTGGTGGCACAGTGGTTAAGAGCTATGGCTGCTAACTGAAAGATCCACAGTTCAAATCCACCAGCTGGTCCTCGGAAACCCTAAGGGGCAGTTCTACTCTGTCCTATAGGGTCTCTATGAGTTGGAATCGACTCAACGGCAAAAAATTTGGTTTGGTTTGGACTAACCTAAAGGTTGGCAGTTTGAACACACCCAGTGGTGCCACAGAAGAAATGCCTGACAATCTGCTTCTATAAAGATTACACCCAAGAAAACTCTATGGAGCAGTTCTATTCGGTAACACATGGGGTCACAATGAGCCAGAATCAGCTCAACAGCAACGGGTTTGGGTTTTGGGTCTTGAAATCAAAATATATCGTGAAATCAGTGTAAGAAAGAGTTATTTCACAAATTAATTAGCATTGCTTTTTCTTAGTGGCACATAAAATTATGGTATATCTTATAACTGACAATGTCATACATTCAATAAAATACAGTATTTTTGGTGGCATGATGCCCTATCGCTTGATCTTGTATCACCCATGCTGTTTCCCATGATGAAATCACGAGAACAGTGACTTGCCCCTAAAACACGGGCATGCAGTATGTCAGTCAAACACTGTAGCTGAAGTCAAAACTACTCAGCTACTGAAGCAGAGGCATCACGCACTGACTAACTCATTTTGTAGCTCAGGATCAGCTCAGCATGACCCAGTCGACAAGAGAAAGATGGAGTGAATGGAACAAATCTGAAACCTGGAGCCTGGTAAGGTGAGGTGAGCTGTGGCGGGCCCTGGTGGCACAGTGGTTAAGAGCCTGGTGACTAAGCAAAAGGTCGGCAGTTCGAAACCTTTGAAACCCTATGGAGTAGATTCACTCTGTCCAATAGGGTTGCCATGAATCGGAATCAACTTGACGGTAATGGGTTTGGTTTGATTTTATGTGTGGTGGGAGAAACTCTAGAACTCCCAGCAGAATGTGATGTGGCAAGAGATGAGATGGGTACAAGGATCAGCAGTCAGCCTCTGGAAGATACAACATGAGTTGTCAAGGTTTTCAGCCATTCGCTCATTTTAGGAATAAACACCTCCCAAGAGCTGACTCTCTACCAGACATGGCAAAACAGAGGTATCTAAAATGAAGACATTACTTTCAGTGGCCCTACAGTGTAAAGGGGGAGACAGACAAGGAAAGAGACCATCACAATCCAGAATGGTAGGTCTGATGGACAGCAAAGCATGAAGGGCTTTGGGAACCCAGGGAAAATAAGACTACAGCTCAGGAGCAAAGGGGTATAGAAGGTGATGAAAGCAAGTAGGCAGGAGTAGGGGAAGGAGTCAGCCCCAGGAGACAAGGCTGGGATTTAGAATTGGACACCAGTGGGTACTGCCCAAGCTCCGGCTTGCCTTAACCTGAAGACAGCACTTAGTTGGAGGGTGGTGGTCGTCAGGAGCCAGCTGGGAAGAAAGGGCTCTAGAGGCTGAGAAACTGGGATGGTCTAACAGCTCAGTCAGAAAGCCACAGAAACCAACCAGTGGGCCAAATTCCTCCAGCACTGGTAGTGCAAAGGACTCAGAATGGCCAAAACGTTCTTGAAAAGAAGAACAAAGTTGGAGGAATCACATTTCCTGGTTTCAAAACTTACCACAAAGCAGCAGTAATCAAGATAGTGTGGTACTGGCAGAAGGACAGACTCATAGAATCAGTGGAATGGAATACAGAGTCCAGAGTTGGTTGATTTTCAACAAAGGTGTAAAGGCAATTCAATGAGGAAACGACAGACTTTTCAATAAATTGTGCTGAGACAATTGGATATCTATACGCAAAAAGATGAATGTGGACTCTTACCTCAAAGGGTACACAAAAGTTAATTCAAAATAGATCACAGACCTAAATGTAAGAGTTAAAACTATAAAACTCTTAGAAGAAAACATAAGAATAAATCTTTGTGGCCTGGAGTTAAGATTTCTTAGCTATGACATCAAAAGCACTATCACTAAAAAAAAAAAAAAAAAAAAAATTGATAAATCAAACTTCATAAAAATTAAAACCATTAAGAAAGTGAAAAAGCCATGGACTAGGAGAAAACATTTGCAGATCATATATATGATAAGGGATTTGCATCTAGAATACATAAAGAACTCTTATAACTCAATAATAAGACAAATAATTCATTTAAAAAAATAGGCAAAAGATTTGAATAGATATATCACCAAAGAAGATGAATGGCCAACAAGCATTTAAAAAAAAATGCTCAACATCATTAACCATCAGAGAAGCATAAATTACAACTATGAGCTACCACTTCACACCCACTAAGATGGTTATAATAAAAAAGATGAACAGTGTCTTAGTTATCTAGTGCTACTGTAACAGAAATACCACAAGCGAATGGCTTTAACAAACAAATTTATTCTCTCACAGTCTAAGATGCTAAGAGTCTGAATTCATGATGCCAGCTACAGGAGAAGTCTTCCTCTCTCTGTAAACTCTGGAGGAAGGTCCTTGTCATCAATCTTCCCCTGGTTTCTCAGAGCAGGGACCCTGGGTCCAAAGGAAGCGCTATTCTCCTGGCTCTTGTGTCTTGGTGGTATGAGGTCCCCCTGCCTCTCTGCTGGCTTCTGTCTTTTATATCTCAAAAGAGATTGACTAAAGACACAACCTAATCCTGTAGATTGAGTCCTGCCTCATTAACATAACTGCCTCTAATCCTGCCTCATTAACATCACAGAGGTAGGATTTACAGCACAAGGAAAATCACATCAGATCACAAAATGGTGGACAATGAATCATGGCCTCCCTTAGTTGACACACATTTTTGGAGGACACAATTCAATCCATAACATTTCACCCTTTGGCCTCCAAAAACACATGTCTCTGCCACATGTAAAACACATTCACTCCATCATATCAGAGTAAAAATCTTAATTCAACTCCAAGCTCAAAATCTGAAAATTCCTTCTCATCTGTGAAATCTAGAATACAATCTATCTGCTTCCAAAGTACAATGGTGGAACAGGCACAAACTGGACATTTCCATTACAAATGGGAGAAATTAGAGGGAAAGAAGGGATAACAGGCACTAAGCAGGTCAGCAGAACACATTACATTAGCCCTCAAGGCTTGAAAATAATCCTTTGTTCTCAGAGAACGTTTAAGCAATGCCCTGCCCTCCAGACTCTGAGTGTTAGCCACACTCTCCAGATTCTGAATGGAAGTTCCTGGCCCCAGGCTTCAGCTCTGCCTTCCAGGCCCACTGGAACAGTAACTCTGGTCCCTCAGTTTTGGGCGGCCCCATTCTCCTAGTCCATCTGAGTGGAGACTCTACTCCCTGGGCTCTGGCAGGCTATGTTCTTCTGCCCCTTGGACATGGCAGCCCTGCCTCCTGAGCTTTGGGCAGCAGATCCAGCCCCATCTTGCTGGCACTCATGAAAGGCATCTGCACACT